GATCTACAAGGATTTATTTTTCAACATTTATTGAATTCCATTAGTCTATATGTCTCTCTTTATGCCAGTACCACACAATTTTGATTACTGTTGTTTTGTAGTAATTTTTAAAAATGTGACTTATTTGTTTGGATTTATTTGTTTGGATTTATTTGTTTGTTTGTTTATAAGAGCTGGGGTGTTGGCCAGAGGTACAGGGGGTGATAGCATTCACCAGAGATAGAATGGGGGGCAGAACAGGCAAATCTACTGAAATATACTGCTGAGGGGAGCAGCAGGTGAGACAATAGAGATTTGCTGTGCCATATAAGGGTTAGCTCCCTGGCTAGTGATTGAACTCATGCCACAATAGCATGACAGTGCTGAGACTAAGCCCTGTGCTACTGGTGAGGTCCTGTAGTAAATTCTGAAGTTAGGAAGTGAGTCCTCCCAACTTTGTTTTTCTTAAGATTTTTTAGCCATTCAGCATCTGTCAAGATTTCATATGTAGGCTAGACAAGTTTTTAAAATTTCTTCAAAGAATATCATTTGGATTTTGATAAGAATGGCATTGCATCTGTAGATCACCTTGGGTAGTATTGAAATCTTAACATTATTAAATCTTCCAAATCTTCTTAACATTATTAAATGGGATGTCTCTCCATTTATTTGTGTCTTCTTTAAATTACTTTGGCAACAAAATTGTACTTTTTAATGTGCAAGGCTTTTGCCTCCTTGGTTAAGTTTATTGCTAAGTATCATTCATTTTAATGTATTGTAAATGGAATTTATTGGGATAAGATTCTTTTCAGGTTATTAATTGTTAGTGTTTACAAAATCAGCTGGTCTTGTGTATTGATTTTGTGTCCTCAACTTTGCTAAATTCTTTTATTAGGCAGTACTCTGAGTTTTGAGACATGTAAACCCCACCACTGGCTTATTTTGGCAAAGTTTAAAATTCTTCCAGTTGGTTCATATAACAGTAATTAAAAAGGAAACTTGTGTTACTCTTTATTATGGTGTAACACCTCTGACAACAAATGTGGAGGTTTTTCCAGCTCTGACCAAGCTCCAGCTCTCTGAAGACACCAACCGGGTATCCTATAGTTTAATTCCACTTGGACACTAACTGGCCATAGTTAATGCAGTTTTCGCAGATTAGTTGGTCATGGTCAGTCCCAGTCCCACAAGGTTGTCCCCACTTCAGTTGTCAGTTTCAAGTCTAGTACCCGTGCTTCTAATAGAATATCAATCAGAGACTCCTACAGCTTCCTCCTTGGGTTTGATAATTTGCTAGAACAGGTCACAGAACTCAGGGAACAGTATACAGTCATGCCTAGCTTAACAAGGGGGATACATTGTGAGAAAAGAATCATTAGGCGAATTCATCTTTGTGTGAGTGGCAAAGTGTAATTACATAATGATGGCACTGCCTGCTGCACACCCAAGCTCCATGTTATAGTTTTGGGACTACCATCATATATGGGTTTTATCATTGACTGAAACACCATTAAACATTGCATGACTGTACTTATTGGATTACTGGTTTATTACAAGATGCAACTTAGGACATCCAGGTGGAAGAGGTACATTAAGGTGACTCTTCCATGCCTTCTTCAGGTGTGCCTATGGTGTGCTCCAAACCCTGTCGTTTAGGGGGTTTACTCGAGGTCTTGTTATGTGGACAGATTGATTGAATCTTGTCAATCCACTGTGATTAGCTCAACCTCCAGCCCCTCTCCCCTGCCTGCAGAAAAGTTCCAACCCTCTAGTCACCTGGTTGGTTTCCCTGACAACCAGCCTCCTCCTTTGGCTGTCCAGGAGCCCTTCCAGGAGTCAGTTCATTAATGTACAAAAGGTCTCTTATGCTGAGATTCCCAGAGTTTTAGGAACCTTGTTAGAGACAAAATGTATATTCCCTATTAAATCATAATAGTTCATTTGTTCTAATGGCTGAAGGAGTGTCCCATGGAATGGATTTGCCATCAGCTTCCCAGTCGATGCATAGTGGTTGGTTGTTTCCATTTTGCGGTGACTATGAACACGATTGCCATAGACATATGCCTGCAGGCTTTTGAGTAGACATATGTTTTCATTTATCTTGGGCAAATAGATAGGAGTGAATTTGTTGAATCTTACAGTAAGTGTATGTTTAATTTCCTAAGAAACTGCCACGCTGTCTTCCAAAGTAGTTGAACCACTATGCCTTCTCGCCAGCAACCAGTGAAGGCTCCAGTGCTCTAAATTCTTATCATCAGTTAGTATTAATGTCCACTTTTATTTGCTTGTATGTTTTATTCATCCCAATGGTGTGATATAGTAGTTCATTTCCCTGGGAATGATAGTGATGTGTTTTGTTTCTTCTTGCCATGTGGATACCTTCTTTGGTCAACTGTCTGAACCCTTGCTCATTCATTTTTTTATTGAGTTGTTTTATTAAGTTTTGAGTTGGGAGTTCATGACATAGTTTGGATACAAGTCCTTTGTCATATACTTTCTCCTAAACTATACTTTTTATTCTCTTGACAGTATCTTTTGCAAAACAGTTTTTACCATATGTTTTTTTAAAGGTTTATTTATTTATGCATACAGAACTGGGAATAGGCCAGAGGTGCAGGGGGTGAGAGGACTCAACAGAGACAGAGTGGGGAGCAGAACAGGCAGATCTACTGAAACACACTGTTGAGGGGAGCAGTGGTCGGGTCAGGTGGGGTCTGCTGCACCATGTGGGTCACCTCCCTGGCCAGGGATCAAACTTGTGCTACAGTAGCTTTGATAGCTTCACAGTGCTGTGCTTTAACCCATTGTAACATCAGGGAGGGCCCTTCATCATATTTTTAAAATATTCTTGAGGTTCATCTCTAAATGCAGTTTGAATTTTTCACTCTTTAAAATGCCTGGATTTTCCCCTTAAATTGGAATATCTGATTGCTCAGCGCTGTCATTCCACTCTGTTTTTTATGTCAGTTGCCTGGGCCCTGGAAACATTTGCGCTAAGCGGGGTAGAATAGGCAAAGGATAGTAGTTAACATCTTCTGAAGATCACAAGATTTGGGTTTGAATTCTCACCCTACTCTTTCTGTGTTACCCAGAACTAATTATTCTTTCCACTGAAGCTCAGTTTGTTCCTCTTAAAACAGAGTCAGTAAAATCTCTCCCTCCTGCCTTACCCCAACCCAGGACTGGCCCAAGAAATAAAGCTCAGTGTATGAAAACTGGCTTTGCTGTCTGGTCTGGAAGATTTCAAACTTACTTATTAGCAGAGGGACCATTAAAATTGAATCTTATGCTGATTCTCAGGAGGTAGTACAAGAAAGGGAAGGCTTTCATTTCCTCCTTCTAACCTATTATACCCACCTATTAGATCCTGCAGTCTGCTCATCAGTCTAATCCCCTCATATTAAAAACGACAAGGGGGAACAGACTGGAGAGAGCACATGTGCTCACTCTTCTCAACTCTCCACATCTACTGCCTTGCTAACTCTACTCCCCAGATGTTGAGAGGCGATCACCACGTATTTTAGGTTCTGTGCCAGGCACCTTTCTGAGTATTTCACCTGTGTCAATGCTGGTCACCTGGCCAGTGGTAGTTGTCCCCATTTTATGGGTGAGGAAACTGAAATCCAGTAATTTCCCTCAACTCGTGCCGCTGGGAAGTGGCACAGTCAGCCTGTAGACCCACCTCAGCCTCTATTTTGCTCTCCCCTCTTTCTTCTGCTGCCTCTGTCATAGCTTGTCTGTCTCTCTCCACTCCAGACATACCACCACCCTGTGTGCTTGCTGTTTCCACACCTGGAGTGCTTTCTACCACCTCCAGATCTGCTACTTCTCATCTTTCATGTCCTATTCAGACAGCAGCTAAAGTTACCTTTCCAGTAACTTGCTATCACCCATCTAGTTTTAATTTTCTGCAGGACACAATCCAGTTCAATTTAGAATTCGTCCATTCATTCTTAAGTCTTGTGATTCATTTACTAGTTTTTTATTGATGATCCATATGTGCGAGGCCGTATTCTTGGCCCAAAGGGTAGAGCAATGAACAAAGCAGACCAAAACCAAAATGCTGCTTCCAGAACTTAGTTCTAGAAGGGGAGGCAAACACAATAAAGAAGATAAGCAAAATATATCCTATGTCAGGTAAGTATTATCTTTGGGTTTAATTTTGTAAGGAAGGGAAATAGGAAATATTCCATCAGAGACTTAGATTGTAGATAGGTTGGTCAGGGGAGGCTACCCAAGAAGCTGACATTTAAGCTAATGCTTAAAGGACACGAAGAAGGAGCCACTGGAGATCTGAGAGGGGAAACAGCCTGTGCAAAGGCCCTGAGCCAGGGATGTGTCTGGAACGTTTGAGGACTAGCAAGGAGGCCACTGTGGCTAGAACAGAGTGAGGTGCCGGGAAAAGCAGCAGGTGGTGGGGCAGCCGGGCACTTGGCTTGTGTGCTCAGTGAAGTGGGAGCCATGAGTTTTCAGCAAAGAGCTAAGGAGAGACAGGACCTGACTTGTGTGTTCACAGGCTCCCTCTGGCTGCCCTGGAGAGAACTGACTGGAGGGTGAAGGCAGGAGTGGGGGCCCAAAGCAGGGGCAAATGCACTGTCCCAGGCATGTGATGGGGGTAGGGAGACTGGCCAGGGAGAGAAAGTGGATGCAGTCTGGATAGATTTGGGTGGTGAGGCTGATTTGAGTAGAGCCAAGGACTACTGCACCACTTTTGGTGTGTGTGTTTCCACTAGGTCAACCTGCCTCTGGTCTGGCTGTCCCCCGTGTCATTTCTGAGGGATGAATCATGGTCACTGCTGTGTCCCAGTGCCAGCAACAGGGCTGGCACACCGAGGCACTCAATGGCCAATTGATCTCTGCAATTTTGCTTCCCTTCTCTCTGGAGTATCTGTCTTTAATGTCCTTTGTCTGTACACCTACCCCCATCTGCGCCAGGAATTTCCTTGATGTCCTCTTTCCTTTGACCTCTTCAAGACCATTTCAGCTCCTGACCCCTGTTCCTCCCCATCTGCTTCCTGCAGCTTCGAAGCAGAGAATGGACCCACATCATCACCTGGCCGCAGCCCCCTGGACTCGCAGGCGAGCCCAGGCCTCGTGCTGCATGCTGGGGCAGCCACCAGCCAGCGCCGTGAATCCTTTCTCTACCGCTCGGACAGCGACTATGACATGTCACCCAAGACTATGTCCCGGAACTCATCGGTCACCAGCGAGGCGTGAGCACCTATCCCCTCTCCCTACCTGTCAACCCTTCCAGGCCTGGCCTTATCACAGGCTGCCCTCCCCACAAGGATCGGGTAGGCCCCCATCTCTCCTCGCCAGTGAAGGGTAGCCACTCCTATACCCCTAGCAAGGAGAGTCCCTTTCAGCTTATCTACCCAGTGAGGGGTGAGAACCCACCATATCTCTGCTCGCCACCCAGACACACTTGGCCCTCCTCAGGCCAGCACCCTTCCATGTCCATGTCCATACCCTGCTTGGTCCTGTCCCTGCCAACAACCTTCCCAGAGTGTCCACCTCATCTGAGCCCCCCCTTCCCCAGCAGGCTTCCATAATCTACCCCCTTTATGATGACCGCCTAGGGAGGCATGAGCACCCCCAGACCTACTCGTCCCCTCCCTTCTAATGGGATTCTCTAGGTCTGCCCTCACCCATCTCCTGTCCCCTCCACTGCCCTCCCACACTTCTCTCACCCAGCCCAGTCACTGTAGTGTGTCACTGTGCCTCTCTGTCATGTTCCTTTAGGATCAGCCTTCAGCATGTCTCCACTGGTGAGGTACAAGAGCCCCATTCTTTCATGCTATGGAGCCTCACCCTGCCCACCAGCCTCCCCAGGCCCAGGCCCATCCCCCACAGTATTCACTCTAGAAGCTATTTGTAGGGCATCCCAGTTACAATGCCTCTTCATCTGGAGGCTTGTGGGGGCATCCCACTGTGAGGACCTCTGAACTGGCCCTGTCATTGATTGTAGGCACGCTGAGGACCTCATCGTGACGCCATTTGCCCAGGTGAGGTTCCCTTACCTAAGGAGGAAAAGGCCTCCAACTCTGAAACACACTTGGGGATGGAGGTGCTCTGGGCAGAGCCCTGTCCTCACTGCTGCTCCATATCCCAGGTGCTGGCCAGCCTCCGGAGCGTTCGCAGCAACTTCTCTCTGCTGACCAATGTGCCCATTCCCAGTAACAAGTAAGTCGAGGCTGGGCCCCTATGCCCACAATCATGCGGCACACTTGTATTCAGCTTTCAGTCCTGCTGTGTGACTTCAGATAGCCACTACCTCTCTGAGCCTCTGTTTCGGTGGCTCCTTGAGCCAGTAAGTCATTGAGATTTGAAAGCCTAAGACACAGAAATGCTTATAAAGACTATTCAGGGGTCAGGACACATGGTGGTAAGCCACTCAGCCCTTGGCCCTAATGCCAACTTGCTGGGCAAACAGCGTTCCTGTGGCACCTCTGTTAGAGAGCTGTCATGGGGAGTCCAGGAGATGTCATATAGAAAAGTGCTAGAACATTATCCAGTGCACAGTAGGCACTTACTAAATAGGAACCGTTATTTGGGGCAATGGTGTGGCTAAGAGCTGTTGGTCTCTCTGGGCAAAGCTATTTTTAGAAGGTTCAAGGAATGGGAAGGAGAGCAAAGATGGTCAAGGAAACAGACTTTGGCGAGACAGGACTTTACCATACAGCTGACCAGCTGTGTAATCTCGAATTCACCTCCTTGAGCTTGTTTCCTGATCTGTGAAATGGGTTCTTGAGGGGTTCTGTGAGAGGTCGCAAGCAGACTACATGGCAGTGTGCCTGGGATACAGTGAGTAAGTACTCAGGAAGAGGAAAATTGCCACTATACATGGAGAGGGGGAGACAGATATGTGGGGGACCCAGGCTGACGCTGGAGACCCATTTCTTTGCAGGCGGTCCCCGCTGGGCGGCCCAACCTCTGTCTGCAAGGCCACGCTGTCAGGTAGCTAAGCCCAGGGAGGGCCCTTCTTACTGCCCCAGTGGGGGTCCCTTACCCAGGGTCACTGTCTCACCCCCTTCCCCAGCACCCCACTCACCTGGTGGACCCCCATGACCATGGGTGGGGGGGTTCTGGGGGTCTGCCTGTGGACCCTCTCAGTCATAGCTCGGCTATCCCTTCTTCAGAGGAGACGTGCCAGCAGTTGGCTCGAGAGACACTGGAAGAGCTGGACTGGTGTCTGGAGCAGCTGGAGACCATGCAGACCTACCGCTCAGTTAGCGAGATGGCGTCCCACAAGGTGTGCAGGGGTTGGGGCCTTTGGGGCAGTGCCAGCACCTGTGCAGGGCTGGCGGGGTGGGGCCAGCCAGGGTCAACATGTGGATGCTTATGGACTGGGCCAGTAGAGAATGGGGCAAGTCCATGCATAGGACCCATGTGGCTAGGGGCCAGCCCCTGGGGTGGGCCAACCCTGGGTGCTAGCTTCAGAATGTGTCGTTCCTATAGATTCTTGCAGGGCTGGAGAAGACTGGCATGTGTGTGTGAGCATGTGTGTCCGCTTGTATGTCTGCCTTAGGGACCATTTTTCTTGCGAGGGTTGAGGGGATATGATACGCTTGTGTAGTCTGCAGGTGTATCTGTGGCTTATGCATCTGTGTGGCTATCAATTGTCACCCACACATTTGCAGAATGGGGTGTGGAATCTGAGGGGATCTCTAAGGAATAATGTGCAGATGTTGAACCTGTAGAGCTCGTGTGTGGGTGTGTGCTGTGCATTTGCAGCCACTGATCCAGATGCCAGTCTGTGAGGCCCTGTGTATTTGAGTGACTGTGAGTGCTCACAGGGCTGCAGGAGAGGACGCAGCCCTTACACTGCACAACTGCAGGGGGCGTCATTCAGAGAGCAGGCAGTGCGCACGACACTTCCTTGGGTTGTGCAGCTTGGTGTCAGTCCTTGTGGGGGGATGCTCATCAGGAAATGAGTGTGCAGGTGGAGGTGTGTGCTGGAGGTGCAGGCACCTGTGGATGGAGACTGGTCTGGAAACATGGACATATGGGAGCTATTGTGTCCGAGGGTGCACTGAGCACCTAAGAATGTGACTGTGTCTTGGGGTGTGGATCCACAGTGTGTGTATGTCTGTGCATCTGTGCATCGGAGTGAGCATTCCCTGTGTCCAGAGTCATGTGGGTTTGTGTTTGAAAGTATGTCTATGGGTGTGTGTCTGTAAGTGTATCTAACATCTGGGTGTTGCTCTGTGCTCTAAGAAGGGGTGTGTCTGAAAACATTTGTAACTCTCTATACTCAACTGTTTACCCGTAAATGTGTTGGACATAAGTTTCAGTTGTGACTGTGTGTGAGAGAGAGATTGAGTGTAGCGTTTAGATGTCCGTGTGTTAAGAGCCTAAGCGCATGTCAAGTCTCTGTGTCGATGCCTGTGGGAAGTGTCTCGGGGTGTTTGTGTGTCTGTGGGTGTCTCTTCTCTGTCCATGGAGGGGACATGTCCTCTTGGGGGGTGCCTCCATTCTTATTCCTGGTAGCCCCACTTGGGTCCTGGCTGAGGTCCATGTGCTCTGATGCCCCTTTAACGCCCCCCCACCCCAGCACCACCTGACATCGCATGCAGCCTGCCAGTGCTGCAGTGAGCACGCACACACGCGCACACAGGCACACAGAGCCCGGTGCCTCCTCCCGGGACCCTCACCCTGTCTGCCCACCCATGGGCAGGGGCCCCTGGCCACCTCCAGCCATTGCCGAGGGGGGGCCCCTGAGGGCCAGGGACTGGTGGACCATGTAACCAGCGCTGCTGCCGGGGGCGCGGAGGGGAAGGGAGCCCCCAGCCCTGCTGGGCCGGCCCAGGCCCCTCCGCGGCTCCCCCTTCCACTGCCCACCTGCCCAGCACACACCACCCCCTGCCCCCCCCCCCGCACCCCCAGTGGCTGTTAACCCTAGGAATTCCCAGCTCAGGCTTTGTGTGCAGCAGCCCCGAGCAGGGCTAAGGCTTCAAGATGCCCTTGGTGGATTTCTTCTGCGAGACCTGCTCCAAGCCGTGGCTGGTGGGCTGGTGGGACCAGGTAGGGTAACTTGGGGTAGAGAATGGGCAGGAGACCCAGTGCTGGCCCTCCCACCTTGGACCCTCTAGTCTCTGGTCTGGGCTTGTGCACGTGTGTGGCCTGAAGATGAAGCCATATCGCTGAATCTCTGTGTGGCCCTGGGTTGGGCGTGGAGGCAGCAAGCTGGGAGCGTGTGGCTTTCCCTGGGGTGTGGGTCTCAGTGCATGTACCCCTCAGTGCACACATATGTGTGCAGAGTATGGGCTTAACTAACCGTGTGTTTGTTTGGCTGGGTCATGGTGTGGCCCTGTCTGATTGTGTTGTTGTGTGTTGAACCATGTTTGGGGACCCAGAGCTATGTGATTTTTCTTGGACATGTGACCTCAGTGCCTGTCTTGTTGTGTATGCCTCTTGGTTTGTGTGTCTGAGGCTGCGAGGGCTGTGTACCATGGGAGTCTGTGACTCTGTGGTCCATCTTGTGTGTATATCTCTCTGCACCCAGGGGCTCTGGGCAGCACCGTCAGGAGTGAGTGCCCCGTCCCTCTGTGGGCCACATGGGGTCACCCTCTCTTCTAGTGTCCCTCCTGCCTCTCTAGACAGAGGCTGCTCTTGTTTTGAGGGGCCTTTGGCAGAACTTGGGTGTGGGGAGCTGATGCCCTTTCTCCTCTATGCACAATGTCACAGCAGACGCCTGTGCAAAGTGACATGGGTGGGCCGGGCCAGGCCCCCAAGCCCAGTTTTGGGCATACTTCTTTCACCAGTGCATCTCTCCATCTCTCTGAGGTTGTGGAGAAGGGGACTATGATGAGAACCCCCTCCCCTGGGTGAAGGAACTAGCCTTTCCCACTGCATGTTCTCCCCTGCCCCAGCAAAACCTCTTCTTCACCCAGAGCTTGGATACCATTTCCCTTCCAACCCAGGCTGGGGGTTGGGGGCCAGGACCCTCAGGGAGTAGGGTCTGTGTCCACCAAACCCTGGGTTAGGGGTAGCCCTGGGAAGGCAAGGGTTAAGAGACCTGCTGCCTGCCCCCCTTTCCCCCAGCTCAGCAGCTGGTTGGAGGGGGAGTTGCTAAGGAGACTCCCATCTCCATGGCTACGGGATTCTCCTGATACCCCATTGGCTCCCTGTTAAGCAAGAGCCCCTCCCTTCCACAGGTGCCCCTCTGACTCCTCCTTTGTGGGGAGAAGGAAAGAGCCTGGGGAGGGGAGCCCCTCTTTCCTCAGGCTGGGAGGGGGATGCTGGGTCCCGAGTTCCCAAGCCTACCCCCCCAAAACACACACACACACACATTCTCAGAGCTGGAGGGGGAGGGGCCAATCTCTCCCCTCTAGCAGCCTGCTGGGGCCTCTGTTTATTGACTGCACAGAGAAGTAGGAGGAACTCATGGAGCCTTCAGAAGTTTCTTGGGGGTTTATCTTAGAGTGGGAGTTCCTTCCACCATGACCCCAACATTTTTTTCTTCTTGCCTCCTTCACCTTAGTTCAAAAGGATGCTAAACCGAGAACTCACACACCTGTCAGAGATGAGCAGGTCGGGAAATCAGGTCTCCGAGTACATCTCCACAACATTCCTGGGTGAGTGAGATCAGTACTTGTGTATGTGGTGGGGGTGGAACCCCATCTGGCTGCAGGAGGTTGCCCCAGGCTCTAGGTCCTATTTGCCCAAAAGGTCATTTTTTCTCTAAAGGTCAAAATCATTCCACTCAAGAGATTCCATACTCAGGATGCCCCCAAATTGAACACAGGATCCCTATACTTTAAAATCTCTCCAAGCTAAAAAAAAAACCCTTTCCAAATTCAGTGGGACTCTAATTTCAGTAGAATCTCCAAATTCTCCCATATTCAGGAGGACCCTCCCAGACTCAAAATGACCAAACTCAGTAAGGTTTTCAAACTGAGAAGGAAACTGTCCTTAAGAGCCCATAAAAGACCCCCAAGATAAAAAAACTCTCCCAATTGAGTAGGCTTCCCGCCCCCCAACTTTAAATTCTTGAAGTCAATATAGATTATCAAGTTTAAGAACCTGTAAGGGATTTTCCAAACTCAGGAGAATTTCCTAACTTGGTGGAATCCCTAAACAGAAAAATACCCTCCAATTCATTGGAAACCTGAAGCTCATGGTAACCCCCAACTAATCCTGCCCTCTGAACCTAAAAGCTTTCAAACTGAGAATATACCCCCACTAAACCAAGGGTAATTTCACCCTCACAATTTGTCACCAAACCACAAAGGCCCCACATTTTAGAGACAACCCCCTCCCAAGGTCAGGAGGCGCCTTCAGAGTTTCAAATGCTCCGCCAGTGGGGGTGTGGCATGCCAGGGTTCTGAGAGCCAACCAATGGGTGCACAGTATGCAAATAACTCCCAATAGGCCCTGTCATTGACTAGCAGCCCCAGGTCACAATGGGTGACTCTGGCTGGGCTCTGGAAGCCCTTGAAAGCTGAGGAAAAGGGTTCCTGGGGCTGGCCCCAGGCAGGCTGGTGTCAAGGGGGTGGGGGGCCCATGGAGCCAGAGACCATCCTTCCCTCCCTTTTCCCAGTGCTGTCCACCCCCACCAGCACTCTGGGTCACCATAGGGGTGTCTTCCCTCCCAGAGAAGCTTCCCTGACTAGCCAGGGCAGACAGGGGCTCTACCTAGCCTCCCCAAACCACGTCCTCACTTCCCATGCCACCCCCCTGCCAAACTTGGCAATTGCAGTGGGGCCACCCCACAGCTCTGGGCCAGCCCCAGCATCCCCACTTCAGCCCACCACCTCCCAGAAGAATTCCTACCTTCCCTCTGGTTTCTGTCCTATGAGTAACCTACAGGACACCTGGAAGGGGTCTGACTCCCCAGGTAAGAATCCTTAGGCATGAGGAGGCCATGGGGAGTGAGTGGCACCTCCTTGGGTGCTGACATCAGCCCCTCCTCCATCTTCTTCAGACAAGCAGAATGAAGTGGAGATCCCATCACCCACAATGAAAGATCGGGAAAAACAGCAAGTGTTCCGGCAAAGATCCTCCCAGCAGCCCCCACCCCCTGGGCCACAGTTCCAGCCCATGTCTCAGATTACCGGGGTGAAGAAGCTGATGCACAGCAGCAGCCTGAACGATTCCAGCATCCCCCGATTTGGAGTGAAGACAGACCAAGAAGAGCTCCTGGCCCAAGTGGGTGGGGGGTTCAGCTGGGGCTGGGCTGGAGAGGGTCAGGCACCCCCACCCCCATTCCATCAGGGCTCAAAGAAGTCACTGAGTCAGCCTGAGATGAGGATTCAGGTTTACTTTGTTTATGTGAAGGGGAAAGAGCAATGAAGAAGGGAGGAAAGGAAGGGGCCGAGCAAGGTTGTCTCAGCTAGAGTTGGGGTGTGAGTGGCACCATAGAGATGAGCCTTACTTTCGTTCTTTGGGGGTCACTCATTGGCAGGGGCTGCCCCCAAGATTAATGGTATCACCCCTTTATAGCTCATATAACAAGAACAGTTTTCTGAATAAGGTAGAGCTGGGAGCCTCAATGCAGTCCCAGCAGCAGGGGAAGGGGTGCCAGTGAAGGTGCCCCAGAAGCATCTATTGCAGACCAGACCTGGGTCTGACTACTGACCCTTCTGTCAGAACTGGGAGTGGGCTGCCACCTTGACACTTCCTGCAATGGACAGAATTTATGCCTTGTGTCTTGAGTTAGCCCTGGCAAGTCCTGCTCCTGTTTATTGAGCTCCTGCTATGCACTAGCACTGTTCTGGTTTGTGGAGAGACATGGAAAACCATCTTGTGTCCTGCTCTCGTGGTGGCTTAGCTCAAAGGCTGACCTGTGCTTGGGGTCAGCTGAGCTGGATTCACACCCCAGCTCTGCCACTTGTGAGTTACAGGCTTGTGGGTGACTCATGTGACTACACCTTCCCAATGAGATCATGCGCATTGTGTAGTGCTTGGCACATCATAAGCGCTCGGTAGACAGTTGTACAGTTGCTGTAGTTGCTCTGTTATTTTCCCACCCGGTAGAACCTGAGCGCGAACTCTGTGTTGCCGAGTTGGCTCTCCGCTGGGTGAGCTGTATTGGTGCTGCCTTCAGACCAGAGCTGAACTCTTAAGAAAGAATCTAGAAAGCTCTGGGCCTTGTATCCTTCTGAACTCTGGGCTCCATCTCCACCAGGAACTGGAGAACCTGAACAAGTGGGGCCTGAACATCTTTTGTGTCTCAGATTATGCCGGAGGCCGCTCCCTCAGCTGCATCATGTACACGATATTCCAGGTGGGGTGCTATTCCAGTAGGGCAGGCTGATGGGTCAGGGTGCAAGGGAGGCGGGCAGGAGGGGGCATTGAGGTCAGCAGGGTCACTGCCCCTCCACACATGCCCTCAGGAGCGGGACCTGTTAAAGAAGTTCCGAATCCCAGTGGACACGATGGTGACATACATGTTGACTCTGGAGGACCACTACCATGCTGACGTGGCCTACCACAACAGCCTGCATGCAGCCGACGTTCTGCAGTCCACCCACGTGCTGCTGGCCACACCCGCGCTGGACGTGAGCGCTGCCCAGCCCCTAGCTCCTCAGCCCAATCTGTGTCTCACTCTGTTCCTCCAGCTCCCTAACTGAGACCTCCTGTTCCTCTGGCCCTAGTCTCTGCCCTCCATCTCTCTCTAATCCTTACTTTTCTCTCTTGACCCCTATGGCCTTCTGATCTCTCCCCATCTCTGTCTTACCTCTCTGTCTGTCCCCTCTCTCCCTCCCTCCCTTTCTTATTCCTTCCTCCTCCTCTTTTAAAATCAAAGGGATGTTTATTATAGCTTTATGGGCCTATCTCCTCATAAATAAATCTGTACAGAATTGGGAAGTAGGACCATGATACAGAAGGGGAGATAATGTGGTACTGAGGCTTGGGAGCCAGTACATCCCATCAGACTCAGTAGCCTCCCATTTTCAGGTACGCTGACAAGACTGTTAGGATCTCTATTGTAGGGGCAACAGAACCCTGCTGCAGGAGCTCTCAGAATTCGGGGGAGGGAGGGTTAATGTCAGCTTCAGCCTGTGACCCAGGTCCCAAAAGTCCAACTTCAGGTTCTCACCTGATGCGTAAGAACCCATCCAAGGCCCATTCAGCTCACGCCTGATGGGCATTTTCAGGGAGTAGAGTGGATTCCTGAGGGAGATGTCTGGAATAAGTCTCATAAATCTTTCAGAGACGAGTCTATGCCAGCTCGCCCAGGATCTTCCAGCACCACAAACTTGATCCCTGTCAGTTTCTGGAAGCAGTGCAGGGCGTGAATGCTTCTGTCTTCAGCATCTCAGTGCCTGAGGGCCCTGGTGGGGAGACAGCCCTCCCCCATCTTCCTAAGCTCTGTTCCACTCTATCTCCCCTCTGGGCCCCCAGGCTGTGTTCACTGATTTGGAGATTCTCGCGGCCCTCTTTGCCGCTGCCATTCACGACGTGGACCACCCTGGTGTCTCCAACCAGTTCCTCATCAACACCAGTGAGTGGTCCTCCAGGGGTTGGGGGTCCCACAGCACCCCTCCCTACAGGCGCTGGGGATGGGTGGGTGAGACCGCCACCTCCCCTGATGCCTGCCCTGCCTTGGGCCTCAGATTCTGAGCTGGCGCTCATGTACAACGACGAGTCCGTGCTGGAGAACCACCACCTGGCTGTGGGCTTCAAGCTGCTGCAGGAGGACAACTGCGACATCTTCCAGAATCTCAGCAAGCGCCAGCGGCAGAGCCTGCGCAAGATGGTCATTGATATGGTGAGCTGGAGACGGGGGACAGAGGAGGAGAGGTGGGAGGGCCTTTGGGGAGCACAGATCCGAGACCAGTGGCTCTTTTGGAGGTGGGTATGACCCCACAGCCTCTGGCTTGGTCGGGGTAGGTTGCGGGGCGTGAAAAGTTCAGAATCCTGGTGGGTGGGTATAGAGAGCAGAACCCCAGCGGCCCCAGTGACACACCCCTTGCCCACAGGTGCTGGCCACGGACATGTCCAAGCACATGACCCTCCTGGCTGACCTGAAGACCATGGTGGAGACCAAGAAAGTGACCAGCTCAGGGGTTCTCCTGCTGGACAACTACTCTGACCGCATCCAGGTGACCCCCACACAACCCTTCCTGCCCCTTCAGCTTCGGGGTACACTCCTTCCTCAGCCTGCAGCTCCTTGTTATCCATCTTCCTGTCTCTTTTTCTCTTTTCTCTCCATCTTTGCCTTCCAACCTCCATCTCTCTCCATATCAACTCCTGCTCATCTCCTACCCCCACCATCTCCTTCCCTTCTCTCCCCCACACCTAGCTCCCTACACCTCCCTCTCCCTAACTTCTCTTGTTCCCCCTCCTAACATTTGCTCATCCACCCCCTCCCACTTCTTCCCTCCCCCCATTCATCTCCTTTTTTTCTTTCTGTACTCCATCTCCTTCACACCTTTTCCCTCACTTCACCCCAAGGAAGGGGAGGTAAAGAAGCCTGAACCCTCAGACTGGGATTGGGACATGGCCTCTGAAGGTCCCCACCTACACAGGTCCTGCGGAACATGGTTCACTGTGCAGACCTCAGCAACCCCACCAAGCCGCTGGAGCTGTACCGCCAATGGACGGACCGCATCATGGCTGAGTTCTTCCAGCAAGGTGACCGCGAACGAGAGCGGGGCATGGAGATCAGCCCCATGTGTGACAAGCACACAGCCTCTGTGGAGAAGTCTCAGGTACAAGTTCACATCAGCCACTGGAAGGGATCAGGGTGGGTCTCTTCCCGCCATGCTGGCTAGGTCATGGCCAGCCCCTCACATGGTCAAGTTTTTGTTTGTTTTCCATTTTGATGGGAAATGTCTCCACTGAGCAGCTGAACTAAAGCCTCTCAGGTGGGTGGTAAGTCTACCTGTAATCATACAACTCTAGCTTATTTTCAGCAACCACCATTGCATCAGTAATACTGTCCTGACTCTTAGTTATAAACCTTATGCAGATTCCCAGTTTCCCTATAATCTTGCTACTTAAATTGCCCCTGATTGTTGGTAAACTTTGAAATGAGATGAAATGACTCATCTTCATCGTGTGCCACTTTAATAGAGAGACAGGAACACAATCTCTCTCTTTTTTTTTTTTTTAAAGATTTATTTATTTATGCATACAGAACTGGGGTACAGGCCAGAGGTACAGGAGTGGTGAGATGATTCACCAGAGACAGAGAGGGGAGCAGAACAGGCAGATCGACAAAGTACTCCACTGAGGGGAGCAGCGGGTAGGTCAGGAGAGGTCTGCCACACAATGTGGGTCACTTCCCTAGCTGGGGATCGAATTCACATTGAAATGGCTGCAGCAAGCTTCACAGTGCTGTGCCTCAACCCTTTGCACCACCAGGGAGGACCCAGGAACACAGTCTCCTAAAAGAGGCTAAAATGTGAATATGAGCTTCTGTCCTTACTTCTGGACTCCTCCCTGTTGATGTCCACCCTTCCCGCTCATTGTATATGCCTTTCCACACCAGGGCTGTCCAGCCTGGGCACCGTTGACACTGGGAAACACAGCATTCTTCAGGATAGGAACCATCCTGTGCATTAGGGAACTGAGCAACATCCCTGGCTTTTACCCACAAGCTGCCAGGAGAACACTTTCCTCCAGCAACTTCCAAATGTCGCCTGGGCATACAAAATAAGCCCCACCTCCACTCCATGGTGAAAACCAATTGTATCAGCTTTACTATCTACTTATGTTCATAGACAATCTCATAGCAATAATTTGTGGGCTTAGTTTTGGCTTAAAGCACCACATTATGAAGCTCTCCGAAGCCACTGAAGCACGAGCTTGATCCCTGGCCAGGCAGCTGACCCAGATGGTGTGGCAGACCTCTCCTGACCCGCCCACTGCTCCCCTCAGCAGTGTACTTCGTGGATCTGCCTGTTCTGCTCCCTATTCTATCTCTGGTGAATCCTCTCACCCACCACACCTCTGGCCTGTACCCCAGTTCTGTATGCATAAATAAATAAATCTTTTTTAAAAGTTTGAAAAAATATATACATTGTATGAATTTATACCTATTTTTATACAGCTTGCCTTTTTTTTTTTAAGATTTATTTTTATTTATACATACAAGAACTGGGATGTAGGCCAGAGGTGTGGGGTTGTGGTGAAAGGGATCACCAGAGACAGAGTGGGGAGCAGAACTGGCAGAGATACTGAAATACACTGCTGAGGGGAGCAGCAGGTGAGATAGGAGAGGTCTGCTGGGCCATGTGGGTCAGCTCCCTGGCCAGGAATTGAACTTGTGCTGCAGTGGCTAGGTGCTAAGACTTAGCCTCTTATACAACCAGGGAGGCCTCTGAGGCATGGGTCATCTATTGTCAGTTTTGCTTCTGATGGTCAAAGATGCCATCAAAACTCCAGCATTTCTAACTGCATTGCAGGGAGGAAAGGCCTCTGTTGGCTAAGGTAGTCCCCTCCCAACTATGTCCTCTCTACACATGGTTACATGGCCACCTTGTCTTTGCAGGGGAGGTTGGGAAATACAGTTTTCAGCTGGATATGTGGCCTCCCACCAGAAAAATTAAGCTCATCAGTAAGGAGAGGAGATGTATCAGATCGTTAGCCAGTAGTCTGCCATGAAATTATTTCTAGTTTCTCTTTGATGCAAAAAATAAATGCTTATACTAAATATTTGGAGTGTACCAAAACTTCTAATCCCCTATTTATAAAGTCAGATGGCACTCAACAACTGGGTCTGATCTGGGAAATGCTTCTCTGGGCAATTTCATTGTGTGGTAGAGTAAGGATGTAGACTTGGCAGGTAGGACCTGAGGCATGGTCCTCGAATATTTGGTTAGTCGTGAAAATGCCATTATGCAACATGTGATTGTATGAGGGTGTTTCTAGTTTCTGTTTACAACTTGTATGTGATTTTTTTTTTTAAGATTTATTTATTTATTCATACAGAACTGGGGTACAGGCCAGAGATGCGGAGGGTGAGAGGATTCACCAGGAACAGAGTGGGGAGCAGAACAGGCAGATCAACAAAGTACACTGCTGAGGGGAGCAGCGGGCGGGTCAGGAGAGGTCTGCCGAGCCATGTGGATCTCCTCCCTGGCAGGCGGGATGGAATTCATGTGGAATTGGCTTAAGCTTCTTAGTGCAGTGCCTTAACCCGCTGCGCCACCAGGGAGGGCCCTGTATGTGATTTTTAAAAAAGATTTATTTATTTATGCATACAAGAACTGGGGAGTGACAGAATTCACTGGATCAGGAGAGGTCTGCTGCACCATCGGGGTCACCCACCCTGGCCAGGATTGAACTCATGCTGTCCTGGCTGGCGATAGCTTAATTTAGTGCTTTCTTTAGCCATTGTTCCACTAGGGTGGGCCCTCATGTGATTTTCTTTCTTTTTTTTTTTAAAGATTTATTTATGCATACAGAACTGGGGTACAGGCCAGAGGTGCAGGGGCAGTGCGAGGATTCACCAGAGGCAGAGTGGGGAGCAGAACAGGCAGATCAACGAAGCACACTGCTGAGGGGAGCAGCGGGCGGGCCAGGAGAGGTCTGCCGCACCATGTGGGTCACCTCCTGGGCGGGGGTTGAACTCACACTGAAGCAGTGCTGAGTGGTGTGTCCTAACCCGCAGCGCCACCAGGGAGGGCCCTCTAGTGGTCTTCTTAAGAAAGAATTTTTCCATAGTGGACATGAAGAAGCAAGATTGCTGGGTCAAATGGCATCAGCACTTTATTCCTTAGATCCCTCAGCAACGGCACGAGCAGGCCCTGGGTTTATACCTTCTTCCTCTCCTTAGGTGGGTTTCATCGACTATATTGTACACCCGCTATGGGAGACCTGGGCCGACCTGGTTCACCCAGATGCCCAGGAGATCCTGGACACACTGGAAGACAACCGGGACTGGTACTACAGCGCCATTCGGCAGAGCCCATCACCGCCACCTGAGCAGGAGCCAGGCCACCCACAGCTGCCCGATAAGTTCCAGTTTGAGCTGACACTAGAAGAAGAAGAGGAGGAAGAGGCCTCTGCTGTCCCAGGAGCATTAGAAACACAAGAACTGCCCTCGGCCCAGGCTGCAGCCCCAGCCGAGGCACCCTTCACAGCTGAGGCCCATGGCCAGGACATGCCCACGGAGGCGGAGGGAGAGGAAGCGTGCCTGACACAGCCGGCTGTCTTAGCAGGCCGTGTGGCTATGGGCCAGGAGGGGTTCACGTGCCCAGATGTGTCCATGGAAGTAGTAGGCTGCAACAGCCCCCCTGCCTTGTCTCCAGAGAGCACCCCTCTGCCTGCCTTGAGGACCCCATCCCCTCCAGAGGAGGCCCCGGGCCTCCTGGGCCTCCCCTCTATGGTGGCCGAGGTGGGGGCCCAGAAAGAGCACCTGGCTGCCAAGAGGGCATGCTGTGCCTGCCCGGGGGCTTCTGCCCAGGACCCACCCCCTCTCCCAGCTCCTGGCGGCGGGGGGTCTGCTGGAGGCCCTACCTGAGCCCCAGCCCTAACACCCTATCGCCCTCCCTGACACCTTTCACCGCCATCACCCCAAAACCACCTCCTCTACTGCCTCAAAGACTCTTGGGCCTCCTGAGAAAAAAGAAAACAGAAAAGTGGGGTTTTTTCTCTTTTCTTTTTTTCCCCTTTTCCTCCACCCCCATCCTTGGGGCCTCTTTTTGGAGGTGGGGGCTGGGGAATGAGGGACTGAGGTCCTGGAAGGGATTTTATTTTTTGAATTTTAATTGTTACATTTTTAGAAAAAGAAAAAAAAAGAAAAAAATACCAGGATGAAACACAGCAACTGTAGATGCTCCTGTTCCCTGCCCCCTGCCCACCGCCCACCCCCTCCCTGAGTTCTGTCTTCCGGCCTCTTGGCTCTTGCCTGGGTCTAAGCAGACTTTTCTTCTGCGTTTGGGAGGGTCGCTAGAACACAGCCAGGAATAGCCATTCTGGGTGGGGCTGGGGGGTGGTCATTGCAGGAGGCCCCAGCTCCGGCCCTTCTCAGGCAAGCTGTCCCCCCAAGTCTTCCGCCTCATTTTGCACAAACCCGGCAATACTGACTTGGTCGGGCAGGGGGAGCTGTGCACTTTAGGGTGCAGGGGGGTGTTAAAGGCACACTGACACCACCTGCCTTGGGTCTGAGGAGGGCCTGCTTCCGCCCTTGCTTGCCACGCCCTTCTTCAACTTGGGTTCTGTTTGAATTTTCTCCGTTTTGGTGTTGGGGGGGCAGCTCCATGGTGCACCCCTCCTTCCAGCTGCTTCTCCTTTTGTTTTTGCCTTAATGATTCCCATGGCCATAGGAGAAGGGGTCGCAGTGACTCCCCCCTGCACCTGGGGTGAGGTGGGGCCAGGCCCAGAACCCCCCATCTTGGGAACGTTCCCTCTACCCCAGCATCCTCCTGCCCCCCTCCCAGACCCTGTGCCCTAGGAGGAAGCAATAACGTGTATCCCCACACCCCCTTTCTGGGCAGCCCTTCCTTCCCACCCTGGCACCAAAGTCATTTTCTTATGTCCCCATCTCGTCGAGCCTCTCCCTCTCTCCCCAACCATTCCCTGAGCAATATGACAGACAGATGCAAGGCCATTTCTCTCCAAATCATGGGGGGGGGGGGGACTGTTTGGAAGAAAAGGCCCCCTCTTCCCTCCCTACACTCCTTGGCTGCCCCGTTCTGCAAGCAGGCAGGGCAGGGTGTCTCATCGCCCTCCCCTCCAATTCTGAGCACATGGTACTGTAGCCCCTGCCCCCACTGCCCTCAACCTTCCATTTGTCTGTCCATCCAGTGGGGTGTACCACCTACTTCCACCCCCTTGATGCTGTACAGGGTTCATTTTTGTAGCAAAAGTAGTTTTTGTCCCAGCCGGTGACCGGAATGGGCTTTTTGTTTTGTTTTGTTTTCTTTCTTTCTTTCTTTCTTTTTTTTTTTTTTTTTTTTTGTATATACTGTAAGGTTGGTTTGTAAATTATTCTAGAGGCAAAAAGGGAAAATAAACTTGCCCTTCCCTGACTGACATAGTCAAGGAAGGGAGAGGAGGGGGTCTCCCAGAGGGAGAGTCTCCGATTCTGCTGTATTATACAAATTGTACCATAGACCCCACACACACACACCAGTGGGTGGACTCTGCCGCTGCCTGATGGGAAGCCTTGTGTCATAGTGAGGCAGGGAGGGCTGGGCGCAGCCTGCCCCTCCCCCTCCCGCAGGGCTGGGTGGGACTGATCAGAGGGGACCTCACTGCCATCAGGACTCCTCTCCCTGGGGGTGGGGGTGTAGGTGGGGCATAGGACCCCCGTGAGCTGTTTGTGTGTTGTCCACTTTGATGACTAACCAGTCGGTCTGTTGATCGATAATCAATCCTTCAATCCTGTCTCCAATTAAACTGAGGCTTTCACCGATCTCCTGGCTATTGTGACTTCCTTTGTCACTCTGCTTCTGAAGGTGCTTCTCTCCTGCAGTGTCTGCTTAGGGTGGGGTGGGGTGGGGATAAAGGCGGCTTCTGTTCCTACTTGCTCCCAGAGTGAGTAGAACTTGGGTGCGGAGAGCTTGGCAGGAGGCAGCCCCCAGGCTTCACTCAAGTCTAGCACAGGAAATACAGGTTGTGAAGTAGAGGTTCAGATCACACGTTCTTAACAGGCTCACAGACCCAGGGAGGCCTCATTTCTCCCACCTGGAACATACTGACAAAACTCCTGGGTGCTGCTAGAACCTGCAAGTCACTCAGGAGAACTCAAAATTAATTGACAACACCTGCACCATCTGACTCCCAGGTCATCATCTAAGGTTTTGTGTCAAATGCTGAAGTGCAGACCTTAAACTTGACGAACAGGCATAAGGGAACTCAAACCTGTAGGTTCCACGAATGGAGTTGTCCTCACTTGGCATTAAAACAACCAAGAAAATGAACCTGCATGTCTTAAAGGCAGGATTCAGTGTCGTTTCTAGCAAGGAAGTTTACGATGGCATCAAGCAAGCTGAAGGCCTTTTTCTGACAGGTTTATTAACAAGGTGAATGAATCTCAAATATTTTAAACAATCCACATTTTTTAGCACGATCAATTCCACTAATTTATCAGGCTAATTAACAAGGCTTTGGTTCCACCAATAAAATGTTTCTGACATCCATTGTGCTAATGAGCAGTGGATAAAGACTTGGTTACAAAGTGTTTGGGATAAGGGTTTTAGATTAGAATACCGGCTGCCTCTAGAGTGCAATAAACTAACACAGACACTCTTACACGCAGTGCTTAAAGTGATTGAGCACAGTGGGTTGTGTAGATGTATAAACTCCCAAGCATGTGTGCTCTGAAGCAATGAGGTAAGCTTCCTTGGATCAGCGATAAGAATGTTCTACTGTGCTGTACAACGCAGTATCCACTCACCACGTGTGGCTTTTTAAGCACCTTGGGATGTGTCTAGAACAACAGAGGGGTCATAGTTTAAATTTTCCTTCACATTAAGTAGCCACGTGTAGCCAGTGGCTGCTATATCCACCGCTATGTTCTAGAACATAAGTGACAAAATGAATGTTGAGGATTTAGCGCAAAGGATTGCCTGCTTGACTGCGGCATAGTGGATAATCTGACCCAGAGGAGTGGGGGCCAATCTGGATCCAGAGGGGAGAAGCAATATTGGAAAATGAGGTAGAAGTTTCCAGGGAACTTGAACTTTGTGTAAGAAGCAAAAGGGAGACACAGACCTATTCCTGAGGGTGTTTTAAAGGAAGTCTGAGTTGGGGAAAGGCTGTTGGGCTGGGGGTCAGGAGGTGACAGACTGTAGGGGGTGACTGAGTGGTCCTGGGTGAGCCTTTTTGCTCTGGGACTCAAGTTTAGAAGGGCAAGCATGATGACCCCAAAGCCTCCTGTGTTGGGACAGGGTGGCAGGCCGAAAATGTGGGTCAGAGAGCAGAGGTGGCATCTGACCATCAGCTGGCTCTTTAAAATTCTCACAGTAGGGAGTTCATCTTCAGGTAAAAGTGACCGAGGGCACAACACAAGCCTTGTAATCTGATCAGGGTAGGGGGACCTGGGATGGGGTAGAGTAGGTTCATTCTCTGAAACCACCACCAGCCACTTGGAAGTTATGTGGTCCTGGGCAAATGGCTTCTCTCCCAGACTGAATTTAGAGAGCTGTGCCCTGAGCTAAACACTTTAGACTTAGTATCTTATCAACTCTCCAGGGATTCCTGAGATTTGTACTATGGTACATTTTGCAGGTGAGGAAAGTGAGACCAAGAAGTGATCTCAGTATTGGGAAAATTCAGAGAAATAATGTCTGTTCTACCATGATCGTTGCCTGGATACTTTTATGTTATCACTACTTTATTTCACATGTAAAAAATCTTGAGATGTGGATGTTTGCCCTTGTTCATCGCACAAAAAAATATAAAAAACATTTCAATTGGCAAATAATGAAAAAACAGCCCATTCTCGGGTGGGTAAGCAGTCAGACCTTGTCAGTGCTGGTGGAAATTGGCACATCCAGCTTTCCTGGAGTGCTCTAAGTTTAACCAAAGATAGGACAACAGCACATGCATTTTGACCCAGCTATTGAGGTTTTAAAAATACTGATCCTAATAAAACAATTGAAAAAAAAAACTAAAAGTGCTGATTACAAAATGCCCACCTAGTGTTGGTAAGCATAGTGAAGAATTACTAAGAACCCAGATTTCCAATAACAGGGTCATAAAATTAAGCATTACCCACAAGACAGATTAGTATACAGCCATTGAGAATGAGTTGGGCCTACATTTATTGAGATGACAAGTTTTTCAAATATGTTCAGTGAAAAGAGTATGTTTCAAAGCGTTCTGCTTTTCAGGATTCTACTAAGAATTATGTGCAAAATATTAATAATTCTCCAGTAGCAGATTTGTGTTTTCTGTTGAGTAGCCTTTGATATTTTCTGAAAGTCTGCAGTGAGGATGAATTATTACATTTATAACCAAGGAGAAAGTTACTTTATAGTTTGGAGAAAGGAGCCTGCATTTGAGATTGGGGAGGCACAAAAACATGCAGATAAATAAGCATAGACTCTGTATTCAGCTTGCCTACATCTGGTTCCGACTTAGACAATTAATGACTGGGGTGGTGTGAAAAGGTGACATACTCGCTTTCTGCCTCCGTTTCCCTCGCTGTAATGTTCAAACAAAAAAATCTGTGATGTTTACCCAGCATCAGTAAGTGCCAGGCATTGATTTACGTGAAGTACTGCACTTTATTCTCACAACAGCTCTAAAAAGCTGGTACTAGTGTAAAGTGGGTCATGGGAGAAGGCAGGGCAAGGAGCACTAACCACAAGTGCCCCCTGGCGTGGGAATGTGGAGTTACAGCGCGAACAGATGGGCTCCAGGTGGGGGGCGTGGCAAGGATGCGCTCTTCGCGCGCCACGATTGGCAGTCATGGTTGTCAATAGCTGAAAAACCAACCAATGAGAGACGCGGCCGCTTGTAATTTAGTACCTAACGGCTGAGAAATAACCTCTGCTTAGTAACCTTCACTTTCTCCTTGTCCCTTTGCCATTCCACATCTAAGAGTATTCTGCTGTGTTTGCACAACTATTTACTTTTTTGGTGGTCCTAAAAGGGTTAGTCCCTGAAGGGCCGATTTTAATGTTGCCCCTTTTTTTGGTTAATTCTGCCTCCTACTTCCTCATTGCTTCACATTTATCTTCCCTGTTCTCATTATGAGCCTGACTCTTCTGGTTGCTTTTGCATGTTCTTCTTTCCTGTGATGATAGTGAGATCGGAGGGAAGTTAGCCTGAACCCCTGCCCCTCTCCTCTCCAGCAGGAGCAGTGGCATGCTTATGAGATGACCCTATATAGAGCAAAGACCGGAAGTTCTGTGTTTTTCCACCGCCTTTCTCCTGATTTCTTCATCCCCTCCAATCATGTTTTCCATTTCAGCCATTTTTCTACTTCTGTGTTTTAAAGATTTCTTTATTTATGCATACAAGAACTGGGGTACAGGCTACACGCAGGGGTGGACTTGAAAGTATTCACCAGAGACAGAGTGGGGAACAGAACAGGTGGATTGACCGAAATACACTGTTGAGGGGAGCAGGTGGGACAGTGATGTCGTTTTTTGGAGTTCGGATTCCTTGGGTTCACTCTGGGAAAGGTTTCACCAGAGCTTCCCTTTCAGCGCATGTGGCGAGTTCCCAGGCAGGGTTTCTCCATGAGACAGAGATTCAGTTATATTTAAAGAGCAGGTTTATTAGAGAAAAGGACAGAGAAGTAAAGGACACTTGCATAGGCAGGAAGAGCTGCCCCAAAGGGACAGGTTTGCTGAGTGAGACCTGCATAGTTGTAGGCTGGCAGCCTCCGCTGAGGGATGTCAGTGCAGAGAAGTCCGGCATGGCATGGTACAGATCACTGCCAGGGAGGAGGCTGCTGCCCTGCAGAGGGAGAGAGTGGGTGGGAAGAAGCACCCGAATAATCATTGGTGGGAGGGGCCTGCTGGTCAGAGCCAGTGCAGAGACTGCCCTGATACAGTCCTTTTCTCTTTGGGAGGGGCTCACTCTTTTGTGGAGTGATCTGTTTACTGCTGATTTTGGGTAACTCTGTGGAACCTCACAATGGGCCCAACCTCTGTATCTTTACTCTCAAGTATGTGCTTCCCATATTCCCTACAGCAGTCTGACAAGGCACAAGTCTCTATGACTGGATTAATGGTCATGTGGGTCACCTTCCGGGGCGGGTGATCAAACTCACACTGAAGCAGCTGTGACCTTAACCCATTGCACCACAGGGAGGGCCATGAGTCAGGTTTTAAGTTTGTGGAGTCTCCTTCAGGTTTTCTATTCTTTTCCTCCATCAACAGGAGAGGTCTGCTGTGCCCTGTGGGTTACCCCTCCCCCCCAGGGATAAAAGGGGAGTGACTGTGAATAGCTTCAAAATGTTGTGCTTTAACCCATTGCACTGCCAGGGAGGTCCCTATTTTTCTACTTCTAAATACTGTGTTACTTAACTGTAAGAGTGAAAGAAAAATTGGAAGTACTATTAACATGTGGAATTCATGTTAACTCTGTATCTTACAGTAGTAGATCTTTGACATTCCTTCCTGACAAATCCAGAACATTTCAAAATCATGATCATTTAATCATATAACTAGTTTTCAACATCTGCTCTAAGGTGTAGAGGTGATGATGTTCTTATCCCTAGTACAAACTTTTCTATGTGTGAGTTCTTGGGATGGATCATTAATTCCAGAGGCTTGTTGTATTTAAAAAAACAAACAAAACAAACAAACAAAAACAAACCCCTCCTAACATCATTTTTATTATTTCTCTTTTGTAACTGCTGTCTCTCCCACAAAGAAAATATTAGTATTTCTACATTACAGCTGCTTTTTAAAACACCAGCAGTACAAATAACCCAGAGAACTCAGTGGA